AAACTATACTCCACCAGGGTTGGAGCCATTATAATCATATAAAAAGATATATCATGATGTTTGATGATAGGGACAAGGCTTGAAAGCACAATGGGCTGCTATACAAATTACAGTATGTGCCTATAGAACAATAAATGATAAGTAATTCATCTGGCAATAATTATATAAACTACTAGTAGAAGCACAGGTCCTCGTGTCAGCCTTACAGGTCAATTCCCCATACTGGTGGTTTGCAGTTTATGTGACTTAGAGTCTATAGTACCATGGTAACACTAACGGTTAAAACTATCCTACAGAGTGGGCGATAAAAATCTGAGCTATTTCACTTTCTTATAAATTGAAACACTTGTTTAATTGTTCTATAGTATGTGTAAAAATAAATCACTGTGTCAGAATAATTCACAGAATGACACAAAGATATATTCACATGTCACATATGTTCATATTTGTGTTGAGTTCATGTTAAGGTTTTGTCTCTTGACTGTACCATCTCAATGTTATTTGTGTATTTGTTTATAATCTGTTAGCTATTTCTAAATATGTCTGAGCTTCACCTAACAAACATGCCTCATGAAAGGTCCTTAGTGTCCTGAAAGCTTGCAAAAAATATTTTTGGATAACAAAAAATAATAATAAAGGTATCACTTACACGATTTGTTTGCTATTTTATTCTAATTTCGCTAACTGGCTAACATTATCAAATTATTATTTTTATGTCTCTTTAAGAAAAACTTTTACTTTTCCTTTTTTTTCCCCATCTAATTTGCCAATGCGCACTGTTAATATGTCTCCAGATAGCCATTATCTTCATCTGGTTGTATGTGTTACCGCTATATGATTTCCTCTCTAGATAACGAACTGCAGCTACTTCTTCTACTTGAGCTGAGGAACTAACTAAGTGATATAGTTTGGACTTTGTGATTTTTGTCTCGTTAGTAGAGCCTGATTAAGCATTAGATGACCAAGGTGGCAGTCTAGGGCTGAGTTTAGACATTGGTACAGTGTTCTAGCCCCAAAAGATTGCCCTTCATTCATAGACATAGCGAGATTGCCACTAGGTAACTGGGGTCATCTCTACGCTCGCTGGTCCGATTAGGACACAGGGAAATGAAGATTACTTGATCCTAGGACTGGTGAGGAGGTGTGAGTAGTTAATACAGTAAGTTTATTTATTCAACACACTCTGGACCCTCCTTCTTCTTATTCCATCACCTTCTGGACATCACTTTCCTTGGTTGGTAATATACCACCTATGCTGTATGGATTGAGAAAAACCCATTTTTGCTCTTTCTCTGTAAGTAATTTTTCATTTATTTGCACTAAATGGTACTAGGGTGTGCACTATATTTATAGTTCATAAAATAAAAAAGTTGGAAGCTCAAAATAAATTTAAAATCTGGGGCATTATTAAGGAGGTAACCCTATTAGAATAAATTGAAAACCAAAAAGGAAAATGTGACAAATGCCCCTTGGACTGGACGTTTGCCACAGGCTCTTGGAGGTGTGTGGAAGGTGGCCTTCTGCCCACTGACTATGGACCATGGAAATGGCTTACTAACAGATAGAGTTGAGCGAACCCGAACTGTAACGTTCGGGTTCATACCGAACATTACGTTTTTTGGACCCCGGACCCGAACACGGACATATCACTGTATGTTCGGGTTGGAGTTCGGTGTTCAGCGATTTAATGGTGCATTTTCAAAGGCAGCAGGGCAGCCAATCAACAAGCGTTTGACTCGTGTGCCCTTAGAAGCCATCACAGCCATGCCTACTAATGTGGACTGCACTTCATATCTGAAAGTCAAAAGAAGCATCTAATAGTGTGCTTACAGCGCAGTGGCTAACATTTTTATTTTCTGGGTGCTAATCTGCTAAATAGTATATTTGGGGTGTGCCCTTCATGTCTGAGAGTCAAATAGAAGCGTCTAATAGTGTACTTACAGCGCAGTGGTAAACATTCTTATTTTCTGGGTGCTAATCTGCTAAATAGTACCTTTGCGGACTGCACTTCATATCTGATAGTCAAATAGAAGCGTCTAATAGTGTGCTTACAGCGCAGTGGTAAACATTCTTATTTCTGGGTACTAATCTGCTAAATAGTAAATTTTGGGGCGTGCAATTCATATCTGAGAGTCAAATAGAAGCGTCTAATAGTACCTTTGCACTTCATATCTGAGAGTCAAATAGAAGCGTCTAATAGTGTGCTTACAGCGCAGTGGTAAACATTCTTATTTTCTGGGTGTTAATCTGCTAAATAGTACATTTGTGGACTGCACTTCATATCTGAGAGTCAAATAGAAGTGTCTAATAGTGTGCTTACAGCGCAGTGGTAAATATTCTTATTTTCTGGGTGCTAATCTGCTAAATAGTACCTTTGCAGACTGCACTTCATATCTGAGAGTCAAATTGAAGCGTCTAATAGTGTGCTTACAGCGCAGTGGTAAACATTCTTATTTTCTGGGTGCTAATCTGCTAAATAGTACATTTGTGGACTGCACTTCATATCTGAGAGTCAAATAGAATCATCTAATAGAGTGCTTACAGCGCAATTGTAAAAATTCTAATTTTCTGGGTTCTAATCTGCTAAATAGTCCATTTTGGGGCCTCCTCTTCATATCTGAGAGTCAAATCGAAGCGTCTAATAGTGTGCTTACAGAGCA